AACATTTTTCAACATTTTGCCATTATTAAAATAGCAGTAAAATACTTACTGCTAGATTCGATTATTCAAGACTAAAATTTTAAACCGATTAAGAGATTAACTTCAACTCTCCTGAGATTCTTCCATATAAAGAAAGAGGTGTTTTGTATTTGTATACTTATTTCTAATGGCGTTAAAAGACATGATTTTGCACCGAGTGCAATTTATTATGTTCACTCTTCAAATGATTCTCTATGCAGAAAGAACTTTCTATCTATCATATGTAGAGAATTAGAATCAAATTAAACAGGGATAAGACTATATCAAACCAAATAGCTGAATTCCAATTCTATTAAACACACCTGACTTGTCACGTTCTTTTTCAAGTGATGTTTTGTATTATTAATCCAGAAAAGATAACAGCAACATGTTTTACATATGGTTAAGCTACTTTAATATTTACATATGTCTGCAAGGAGCAAACTACACAGTGATAAGCAGCTGTTTTTTTTAAAAAAAAAAAACCTCAAGTATAAATGGTATGAAGGAAGTGGTCTGTCAACTGCCCAACTTCCTCAGACCTACATATAATGCAATCTAATAATACTAAAAGCTTAGAAATAACAAAGAACATATTAACAATACTAAGTACCAATGAGTCATGCTTCAGTTTAGAGAGGTGAGAAATGCATAAAGCTTCAGTGCAATTAATTGAGTCCTTAAATCTTGAAAACACAGTAATAAAGCTTTAAAAAACTAGAAATTAAAATTGCTCCGCTGCTTTTGGAACACTGAAAGGACAAATACTGTAAAAGGTCACTATGAATCAAGGTACTATAGCACTTACAAAATTCCTGTATATTTTTAAAAGAACATATGTTATGTTGAGCTTGAACTAATGTTAATATCTCTTAACCAGCATCCCCCACTGTGCTGTTAGCAACGACAAACTATGGTACTTGATAGAAAAATGGAGCAGGGCTCTTGGCGTCCTCACCCAAGTTCCAAAACATTCTATACAAAGAAAATCAATATTTTGTATATATAATGCATATTTTGTGAAACAGGCTGCTGTGCTTTACTTTCAACATAAGAAGAACTGAAGAAATAATATTCTAGGTTTTTTCATGCATTCCCTAGTGAGCTGAACCTAACCTTGATATACAAGATTTGCTCAGTTTATTCAAGACAACAAGCAGTGATATTACTACATACTAAAAACATTGATTTTATGAAAGATTAATACCTTAATTCTTACCAGTGAGCTTTACTCCAAAGACATATTAATACTTTACACTTTTAAGAAAAATGCCTCACCTTAAGCACAAGTTATACTTCTATATCAATTAAAACCAAAGTAGGATAGCAACACTTAAAAAGCATTATAAATTATAGAAAAACTGAAGATGTTTTTGATATTAACATTGTTCTTAAACCTAAGATTGACAGGAGCTGCTTACCATATATAATGCTCGGGGAATCTGCAGGCATGAGATGGTCTGAATTTAACTGGATTGCCAAAAGTCTTCTCTTTCTCCAATTGGACATGAGAGATGAAAAGTTTTCCTGTTTCCTTACTACCAATACAGCATGAAAAAAAAAGATATTTCCTTTCAATCTTTTCATCTCCTCCTGCAATCTTTTCACCTCCTCATTCAAGGAGAGAGCTCATTCTCTAGGCCAGGGTGTCAAACTCAAGGCTCACGGGCTGGATTTGGCCCACAATGTGGTCAGATTTGGCCTGCGGGGCCATCCTGGAAAATGAAGGGGGCAGCCGCCCCGCTTCAGCCCAGACTACCTGCATCACTTCGGCCTGGTCTACCCAATGCAAAGAGGAAACATGCCAGCAGTTTGGGGAGTGGCGTCAGGCTGGCAATGCCCACCCCCCAGTCAGCCACCAGCCCACCTGCCCCCCCCACCCGTCAACCACAGCCCTGATATGGCCCTGAATGAAATTGAGTTTGACATCCCTGCTCTAGGCAATAGCCATCTTTATAAACCCCACTAAGAGAGGATATACATAGGATAAACAAACTGGCAGAACTGCTCTGCAAAAGCCAATTGTTTTTTCTGAGTTTGCATACCTTTCTAAGTCACTGGATTCATTCCAAATATGTGATGCTGAATTGTGAAAAGACTATCTTTTCTTGCTTACTTGCCTTCTAGCTCCAAGCAAGGGCAATAAAAAGAATCTGATCAAAGTGAGACAACAGTGATTGAAAGGAGCAGTATCTATTCATCTGAGCTGTTCATCATTTTTCACTTCGAGTCACAAAGCAAAATTGTGTGTGTGTGTGTGTGTGTGTGTGTGTGTGTGTAAAACTGATCCTCACCCTTAATGGGAAGAAAAGGTGTTTTGGTTGCTGTGACAGCTCAGATCTTCCAAGAATTGTTGCTGCACATCTCTGCAGCAGCTTGCAGGATTTATAGCTGCCATTATAATTCCTGGCATAGAAATTATCATTCCGAATTGTGGAATAAATATATTGCCCGCAAAATACATTTTGTTTATGAGTCTATTTATGCTAAATTTGCATTAGGACAGTATTTGATGGGGCATCTCAAATGATTTATGTCCACGAGGAACTACTCCTTTAAGTATTAGACGATCACATTGTATAAATAACTCAGCCAGATCGTCTTGTGAAACTATGAGTGGGAAGAAGAGATGCGACAAACTAAAAACAAACAAAAAAAAACCCAGGGAAAATGTTTGCTCCGAAGCACTTCGTCCTCCCCAACGTCTTGGGTAGAAAAATGAAAATCGCTCTTCCCGCCCCCTCTAAAAAAATGACTCCAACTCATAGATGAGAGGAGGAGGAGGAGGTTTAAGCATTAGGTCCACAACAGCCCAACTGCAGGTGTGCGCATGACAAACCCAACTGACGTTACTGCAAGTAGCGGTCTCTTAAAAGAGCCCCAAGAGAGGAAATGCATTCCGGACCGATGGAAGCTTCACACGTTACACACTCCGAAATTCTGCAGGGAAGAGACCCGCCCACAATCTGATCCCCGCCCTTCCACCAAAGCAGTTCGGAATGCACGCAAGCGATGCAACAGCCCATGCGAAGGGTATGATAAGTCTATACATCGTAACGTTTATTTCTCCACTCCACCCTTTGAAGAAGCCATAGCAGCCCACCCAACCCCGTTATTTTGGCGCCTAGTGACGCCTTGCTCTTAGGAAGGAGACAGCACTCACCGCATAGTAGAGTTTAGGCTTCGCGTTCAACAACACCGGGTCTGCAATGGCCTGGGGATAACCCCCCAGGTCCCCCCGACGCTGCAGCATGGCTGGCGGGACCGTCCCCTGCGCCCGCGGTCGCCTCTCCTCTCTCCCTCGAAGCACCTCAGAGACAGCAGTCAAAGGGTGAGCTTCCGCCGCCTCGCCTCGAAAAATCGGCTTTATAAAAGGCTAATACTCCGCAAAGTCTGGATGGGTTGGAGATTCAACTACAACTGCTGCCGCCACCGCTATTGCCTCCTAAGTGGGGCCAAGAGGGCGGGTCTGATTTTCTCCCGACGATTAGCTTGGAGAGGGAGGGGAGAGCGAGAGATAGGAAGGCGCCGGGGGTTCGCAAGCCCGTCTTCCCTCGGCAGCTGGAAGGAGGGTGCTTCTTTTTGTTCCTCCGAATTTTTGTTTCACGGGGGAGATTTGGCAGAGCAAATTATTTGGCGGTAATTGATAGAAAGAAGAAAATGGCATCCGATTTCCTCAGGTAGCCTGCCCTGAAAGCCAACATAAAACTCCTGTCTCTCACCCAGCCACTTACCAGCTTCTCGTTACTTTAACGTTACCGTACTGTAGACTTAGGTTGTCACTTTTTGCTTCGCTATAGGAAGACTGGTGAGCGTAACAATTGCACGAACAGACATTCAGCAGAAACACCGTTCTTTGAGCTGTGGCAGAAAATCAACACCTTTTTGCTTTCACCAACAAACAAACAAACAAAAACGACAGCAACTTGCAAAGAGAGAGGAAGGGAAGGAATCACGAGGGGTGGTGGTGTTGCATCCCTGCTGATCTCAATTGGAGCAAGAGATCCATATGAAACCCACATCAAATCACATATTGTATTCCATCTGTCTACCCACATTATGAGACTATTCAGTCCACACGTCAAAATCAGTCACCACAGATCCAATTATTCTTTCAAGGTAATAATGATCTTAAAGTCGTGTTTATCTTTTATTCTGACATTGTCCATGGACACCTTCAAAGTGAGTAATTCTATTAGACTTTGTCACCTTTACCTTTCAGGGAATTTAGATGACAAATAAGAAAGACAATAAAAAGAAGATAGGGATGGGTGTATGAACTATGCTAATACAGTTTGATGTCAACTCAGAGACCTTCAGACAATAGTCAATTCAGAATTGGAAAAAGGGTTATGGGTAGGAAAATAATGTACTACAAATTCCATATATCAGGAAGAAAATCAGTGCAAGAATAGTTTGTTCTCCTTTTCCTAATGTTTCAACAGAAACTGGAAAATAACAAATGGGGGAGGGGCTATCTGGAAAGCTCCATGTCTTTCCCTGCTTATTGTATTGTTTCATGGAACCTGTTAGTGGAATATAATGGCAACTGCTTATCTCAAGAATTAAACCCCACCCCACCCTCCCAATTGTACATACACTGCTCCTGAATATAGATATTATTTGGCTTTCACAGAATGAAATCAAAAATTGTTTTGCAAAGGAGAAACAATTGAAAAGAATTCCCTTGGAACAGTATGTTAAAATCAGTCAAAAGTCCAAGATTAATGAAACCAATAAAGAGATAAATTTTCCCAGAAAGGACTAAAACATCTATCTACCAGAAACAATTCTGATGTCAGCTAGATGTAAGATTGTTTATGTAAAGTAAAGAAAAGGATAAAATATATTAGATTGTTGTGCAATAGCTGTCAGAGCTTCTATGTATGTACTTCTTTACCACTTTTTCCACCTAAACCAAATATTTCATACAATAAATACAGGCAAACATCCGTTTAAAAGTCATGCCATCTTTAATTCTCATTTGCTAATGTTACAGTTAAAGAAAACTAAAATGGAGTCAGTATGCAAAATACTATTTGGACTATCCTACATCAAGAAGACTATGTAAAATGAAATATTTGTAAGATAGTCATGTAGAAGGTGATGTGAAATTGTTCAGAAATTTTATAAAAAGCAAAATAAGCAACAATGGATTTAGATTACAATGAAGTTAATTTTGGCTGAATATCAATTTAAAGTATTCAAATAGTAAAAGCTATTTTGCTAAAATGTTGCTGGAGGCATTTTAACATGTTCCATAGCCATTTGACAAGGATGCTGTAGTAATGGATCACGGCAATAACAGAGGATTGGACTAAATGATTTCTGAAGTTCCTACCAGTGCTTCATATTTATATGATCCGATAATCCCACCCTAGCCTAAGGCATCTTTTATTTAAATGAAAGTTCAGAAGATTTCAGCAGGGAGGTGACACATGGCTGGATCCAGGCGGTCGTGACCGCCTCCCTTCGGGAGGGGCACTACCCCGCCGTACTTAAAACGGCGGTGGTGAGGCCCCTCCTGAAGAAACCATCCTTGGAT